TTCATAATACTCGGAAATTTTAATAATATGCAAAATTATTGTGAATTACCAATGAAAAACAATATTACATCAAAATACCTGTGGAAACACAATATATTATACCCTTTTTCAATAATCTTTGATATAGCACAAAATGTATACCTCATAATTCCAATGGAGAAAATAAGAATGTAAAAAAAAAAATATTGCGATGGTTTATAATTGACTTCAATTTCAACGGAAGAAAAAAAATTATTCGTAATTAAAAAATATTAAGAATTAAAAAAAAAATAACGTAAAAAATTTCCATTTTATCACAATAAAACAATGTTTTTTCTCCAATTCAATAATCCTAATTATCGTCCTCTCGGAGAATTTCCTCCCCCTGCCGAATTTATATATTATTTATTAAATTATATTAAATTATTATAAATAAATTCTTTATAATTTTTAAATATATAATTAATATTAAAAAATTTCCTTTTCAAAATAAATTATTATTAATTAAATAAATATTGAATAATTTTTTTATATAATTTCCTTTAAAATCGTAAAATCCTGCCTAGACCCCAGCCATCAGCAAGGGATATATCAAAGCAAAAATAAATACCAAGAGGTAATAGGCCTTAACAAATTATATATATATTTCCTTTATAATTCGGGTTCGTATGTTATACCCTAAATTAAGGATTCACTAGCAGCCTCTCAAAAAATACGAACCAAAACATATAATAATTATATATATATTACCCAAATTACTTCAGAATTGGATACCCAAATCCCAATCAAATAGATAACGGCGCAATCAAGCATTATTAATAAAATATATACAAAATTATATAAAAATATATAAATTTATTTATTTATATTCATATTAGAATTTATTAAATATTATTAGATAAATTTTAAAAATACATCTTTAATATTTTTTAATTTTAAAAAATGTTTTATTTCAAATTTTTATATTTATAATTCTCCTTGGAATTATCCTGCTTACATGGACTCCAGCATTCTTTAGACAAAAAACGGAGGTCCACCTTCTACTACTAAAATGGTATATGTAAAAAATGCCTACCTAGGATATAACGGGCTCTAAAACCATCTAAAAAATCATGGC